GGCTTGGGCAGTCTTCACACATATGTAGACAGGCTCATAATCACTGAACACCGCTTCAGATCACGTACTCGTCAGTCTCTAATCTTCAGTTTCAGTCTTTGACATTTGCTAAAGGTTCTTTGGTGTGAGCGTTGTCTTCTTGAAGTATTGTTGTCACTAATAGAATTTACAATACAAGTTCTTCAGCGATCGCTGAACAGACTCAGTGCAGATCGCTGGAACTGAAAAGACAGAAACATAAATACTTTGCATAGGGTAAAAGGGATTATCATCAAATCACTGAGAGAGAGAGAGGATCAACAGAAGGATCAAGATATCCTTCCATATCTGAAGCTTTATTAGCCTACGTTGATCAGAATACACCGTGTGTGATAGTATATAGGCAAGAAAATGCTCTAATGGTATGAGGGACCTACTCAAGGAGCAACCCATGCCTCAGACGAGGTAAGTGAGGGTCTGTTAGGTATAGATGAGCAGGATCAGGTACTTAGGGGGTCCTAATCAGGGTGTGGTGAGGGAAAATGTAATTCAGAGGGGCATAGAGTTCGGGGGTGCTTCTGATCATGCGGTTTCTTCTCATTAATCTACTGAAATGGATTATGATGCAGATGAAGACGATTATGAGAATTCATCTATTGATGATTGTTGGACCTATAAATTCAGCTTTGATATTGATCTAATACTCTGAATGAACTCTAAGACGATTAAAGTGCAGCGGAAACAATAATAAGAACATAACAGAGTAAATAAATCAAGAACACACAGTCAAAAAGAGGAAGAAGATGAATGCAAGAGAATTGCTTCAAAGGTTTTTTAATTGATTTAATTGAAAAATTGACGATTACAATACGGAAGCACACTAATTAAAAAGGCCTTAGCCGCTATTTATACTAGTTCCTAACGACTTTACTAACAAGATCTTGCGCGTGAAATCATCTAAGCCGTCCAAATAAAGTCGATTAAGTCCTAGTCACGTGTGAAGCACATGCAGCTAATAACCATTGAAAAACAGTTGGAACATAATCTTCACAGAAGACGAAATCCACAGACCCTCTGTGAGCCATCTTAGAGGCTCTGTTGTAATTGACTTGCATGTTCTTATTGACAGAGGACCATTTTCCAGAACCTCTGTGAGAGACATCAGAGGTTCTGTCACACTTTACTTGCTCGAATATAMGGCTTCTGTCGTTAGTCCTCTGTTGTCTTCTGTGGAAGATATCCTTCTGTCAAGACTTGCAAAATACTTTTTCTATACTTTTACAAGAGATGAATAATGAAGCTAACAATGATGATGATAATTCAACAAGAGTTATAAGGAGGAATGAGGAATGAGTGGGCATAAATAGAAAATGATGAGAGGTTGAGTCAAAGGAAAGTAGAAATACATGGTGAGAGTATCATAGGGATAAAAGAGCAACAGATCCCTATCCACGCCGTCTATTCAAGACGGGTAGCCACATCTTCTACGAATCTTATCTGTTGGGATCTGGTATTATAAGACGTTGTGGACCCAACAACGTATTTGCACACCCTCCTTATCCACTCAAATATCTCTCAACAAATGTCTGTTTCGTTTTCTCACGGGGATATAGCAAAAAATTTATCCATCTCTCATTTGGAGAGTTTAGATATTAAACAAGGTAGATACTCGCCCCAGTCACCGACTTCCTTCTTTATACCTTCCATTCTAGAGCTAAATACACTGATAAGTACACTTACTATTGATGCTTTCGTAGCTCAAACCGCTAGTCTGTGTGACTTATACGAAACACCTCAAGTAAAGCCTACTACAATTTTTCTACAAGGATAGGGTGGAAGTCCTACCAGAGTTATTAATAGTCTAATTCTGAACGTAGGCCACATTGTTGATTCAACTGTTGTGAAAACTTGTAACATAAATGGTTCAAGTGTTAGCTTACTAGAATTGTTTCCAGAGAATGCCTTATTGGCGCCTTAAAGGCTGTTCGAGATACTTTTATGGAAGAGATGTCTTTAATTAAATGGAATGCTGAAAGAAAAAGATATGGTTATTGTTGATCCATTACCACCGCAACTACCACCAGCACAACCAAGACCTTCTAATGATATATTAATTCCATAATTGAAGTCTTTGATGTATACAAAGTTATACTCTCAAGTTGACCTAAATTTAGATGATACAAATTTACTTGGGTTGTTATGCCAATCAATAGAAGCTGAGCAGAATGTAGTTATGACATATCATTTCAACCAGTTCAAGTCAGAGGTCTTATCCAATATTAACAGTTTGTCTACAATTGTTAGATCATCGACTCCAACAACACTTAAGGATACTCTACAAAGATTATCGAAAGAGCTCAATCATTGGAAGAAACTTGCAAGACGCAAGCCTCTATACTTAAACAAAAACATGATAACCCGGATGATCCTAATCACCATGAGGGGAGAAGAGACAAAGATTTGTTGGTCAAACAGATGAAACTGAACAAGCTTATGATGTTCAGGTTTCTGACGAAAATATGCCTGAAGGAGAAAGACAAATGGTGCAAATTTTATTGGTGGATGAAACTGATCCAACGGTTGAAAATCTTGAGGATGCAATAGTTAGAGGGAAAGAGCTGAAAGCCATAAATGATAGGTTCACAGACATCATTTTTATTGACTCGAATACAGACGAACCAGATGGTGACAAGGATAAAGAAGCATAATTGAGAATGAAGGATGATATTGAATATTTGATTTCTTTTTCTTATCAAGATTTTGTAGAACTTGGAGTTTGAAGTTGATGATGTTGTTTCTATGCCTGAACCATCAGTTAAAGTGGAACAAGTTGATCGAGTACAATCTTTTGTGCCTCCGATAACACATCAACAACCAGAATTCTCTAATGTATCAAATCTTGTTGTAGTGAAACAAGCTGAACAAACTATTAGATGGGAGAGAACAAGAATAAAAGTTGCTTTCTTGGAAGATGATGAAAGACAAATTTTTGTAAGGCATTTGAGAAAATTGGATCTCATCAATGTCTTAGGGATTACTAAATTAAATAAATATCACATCCAGGAGTACATTTACATGATTAAAGCCCAATGCAGATGAGGAAGTAGGTGAATACCAAGAAAAAGATAGTCTCTATAAAGAAAATTTCAGCCAGGAAGTCCTACACACTATACTATCCAACTTTCGAGGTTCTAAAACAAAATGAAAATGAATGGATGTTCAATGAGGCAGAATTCACTGACCTTGAGTTGGAAGATCTAGAATTTCTATACCATGAAATGAGGAAGAGGACTATCAGACCTCATGATGTAACTTTGGCTCTAAATGTTGTGAAAAGGCTCATGAAAAGACAGGCCAAATACTCCTTGATTATAGATTTTCCATTGGGTGTTGAAGTAACCAAAAGAGAGTCAGTCTACTCCAACCTTATCAAAATCTACCTGAGATTGATGATTTTCCAACATACATGATACTTGAAGATCCTAAATTTGGAATTGTGTATCAGAATGCCAAGCTGAAGAAGTGTTTCTTGAGATTTAAAGAAGTAGAAAAATATTAAGATGGCACATTGAATTGATCAGACAAAAGTTGGCTTGAAACTCAATGATGATGATAAATCCAAGGAGAAGATGGATAAAAGAGATCAGGAGCTGATCGTCAAAGCACTAGATGTGATTTAAGACAGGTTGAGTTTCAAAGATGATATGAGGAAAATTGAAACTCATCTTGGTCTTCGGAAGAAGTTCAAATGGAATGCTTGAATTCAAAAAATGGGAGAATGTTAGATCTAGATTTTAGTCAATCATCCACTTTGGTATCTTATTGAACAAAAGTTCAAGTTTAGGAGCTTGAAGTGTAAATACCCTTGTGGTATAAATAATTTTGTTTTACTTGTATTGTTTGAATTCTTTGATCATTCTTGTAGTATTGTAATTTCGTTTCACTCTCAATATATCAAATACATTTGGTAGACAATTTCTTTTCTTAGATTTCTCTTTAAATATTTGTTAATATACTTCGAATTTGGGATTAACAGTGAACGATCATGACAAGACTCGAGGAAGAAGCCCCAGCTAACTCTGTGCCAACAACCATGGTAAGACGGGGGGAGTGTTCACTACAAGAAAAATAACCTTCAGAGAAGGTTTTGTTTTGTATTTAAAATTCTTAAAAGCTTCTCTAAATGCTTTAGAGAAGCTTTTCATTTCCGTCAAAAAGCTTCTCTATGTAACGGTAGGTAAAGGTTTTAGGGACGGTTTTCGAAGGGTATGTTTTTGGTAGCTTTTAGAGACACYTTTTTAGGGCTTTAGATACACTTCAAAACTTCTCTAAAGGTTAGTTAATTTTTTTATAAAAGCTTCTCTAAATGTATTTATTAGTGACACTTTTCAAGTATTGATGACGGTTCACAAACGTCTCTAAAAAGTGCTTTCAGAGAAGGTTTACAAAAGAGCTTCTCTAAAGATATTGGCTTTAGTGACATTTTACCTAAACCTTCTCTAAAGATGTCCTTTAGTTACACTCTACAAACCTTCTCAAAAGATTATCTTTAGATACAAATAATCAAAACCTTCTCTAAATCKTATCTCTAGATACAATTTTAAAAGATCAATTCCTTCTCTAAAGGACATGTTATTATTATTTTTCATCCATATTTAAGATCTATATTTGTATATAATATATTATATTAATCAACAAAAACAACATAAAAATCTCAAAGCAATAAATTGATATAAATTTGTAATATATAAAAAATAAGTTCTCAAAACAATCCCAACAATTCAATCAATCTATAAATCCATTTTCTAACATCCGCCCTAAACTCCTCGCAAAACTTGATACTCTACCTGTCAACTGCCATATCTTTTCTAACTTTTTTATAGTCTGCCCGAGTAGAACCACGTTTGTTACTTACTTTGCACAGATGACGAAGCCTTATTTGATTRCAAGGTGTCTGCAAAGGTGTTGGCCATAATGCAATAATTTCATAGCTAACTGTGACAATTTCCCTCTTTATCTATAACAAATCAATAAGCCATCAGAACATTTCATTAGCAAAATGAATATTTAAAACCTACATATAATTTCAAGTTCAACRTTTTCCTATTTACGCATCATAAAGCAGAAGAATATATTAAACCTGCAGTTATCCTTTTTATACAAAGTCGGCAGACTCCTYAAACAGAATATATGAGCAACAACGCCATCATAATCACACTTGCTTAAAACCTGAAAGAAAACAGTGGTAGAACATTAGTCAAAGTATTAGGGGCTGTTTGGCAGTTGCTGAATGATTTAGTGCAGAATAGTTAAGAGGGTCAGAATGGTTAAGTACTGAATGAAATAATGTTGTTTGGTAACTGTTTTCTGAATAAATGCAAATTTACCATTTTAACCCTCTCTTTTTTAACCTTTTAATTGTGGGATCCTGAACAAATTACCATTATCCTAACAACTAAAAATGGAAGAAAGAAAAYCTAATGRAGGCGACAATCGAAGCTGTGCTACTGTTAAGGGACTGTCGACCGGCGATGGAAGTTTCATTATGCATTTACTTAAAATYGAAGMTGTGCTACTGTTAAGGGACTGGCGACCGGCGACTAAATTCGAGGCGACAATCGAAGATACCTRCTGGAGGCGACAATYGAAGCTGTGGAAGGTCGTCGGTGATGGAAGYTGTGGAGGTCGCCCGCGATGGAGACGGTGGAGGTTGCCGGCGATGGAGACGGTCGAGTGACAACCGGCGAACCTGTGCAACGCGACGAGGAGGAGCTTGAAAGTGGCCAGCCAAGTGAAGAAGAAGGTGGTGACGGCGATGGTGAAGGCAGATGAGAGGAGGAGGGGAAAGATGGTGAGAAGGTAGAAGATGGGGAGGAGGGAGATGAGTCTGTAAAATGGGATGAGACGACGGGATCGAGTGGGATGAGTAGCCGGCTGGAGAAGTGGGAGGGTAAAAATGGAACAACTTACCTCTGAACCATTTAGGAGCACCTTAAACACAGAACCATTAAGAGGATATTGTCAYCATTAAGAGGTGATTATTTTTTTGCCAAACAGCTTCTGCCTCTTAGCGAGTAAGAGGCTCCCTCTTAATGTCACCATTAAGAGGGAAACAAACAGCCTCTTAGTCTGTTTCAAACCAAAATCGAACCTATTAAATAGATCATTACAAGTAAAAAGTGTGTAATAATTTCAACAACCACAGTCCAAGAATACTGAAACAGTCCTAATATAAGTGTTAGGAGCTGTTTACTTGAGCTGTTTAAACAGTCCAAATACACCAAACAGTCCTACAACATAAGTAGAAATAGTGAAGGCAATTAAGCTGTTTACTTGAGCTGTTTACTTGATTTTTCTTTTATTATCTTTTTATCAATTGTTCCTTATTCAACCAAAACCTGCATCACTTGTTTTTTCTTCTCTTATTCAACCAAAACCTGCATCACTTGTTTTTTCTTCTCTTATTCAACCAAAATCTGCATCACTTGTTTTTTCTTCTCTTATTCATGTACATTGAATTGCATTCTAATTTATCCAACCGTGAAGCATATGCCATTTTTCAGAGTCTAATTTTCTGACAGTTGATATGAATTCTAAAATAAAAATTGATGAGTGGGATCTGTAACAAGAAGTCAGAATAATCCTTGCCTTGACTGTAAGTAAGTTAATGATCATCGAAACTATAGATGCATTTCTGCACCAACTAGTTATGTCACCCTTTGGTCCCCATAAGCATTTCAAATGACATATTCCAGGACTGTCCCAAACAGATGTAGACCAGAAGCTAATATTCCAAAGAAATTGTAGCATTTTTCCTGTTAACTTTGCTGTCAGTTTGGGCATAAAACAGAGTTTAAGTATGTTGGAGCCAGCAGAAATATATTACCTGAGGAATTGTTTTTAACAGCTTTGAAGCCAAAAAGAAGATGAGACAAACAAATTGCCAGGTAGCCAAGGTTGCTGAATGCGACAACAAACGCAACATGATGTCACCTATAAAGTGAAGCCAAATTGAGGTCRAAAGCGACTTGTTAGGTATAAGTAGCAGCAGTGGTTTTGTATCACAAATTTCAACACAGATAAAAAATTTCAGCTACTTCAATTATAGTAATCAAGAAGGCAAGTTTTAAGCGAGGATAGTAGATGCTTCAGGACGTCACACTAACYAGCTCAAACGCAGTAGAATAATCCAACCAAAACCAATGAGTTAAACTTACATATCCTTTATGTTTGTAGGCACGAAAGAAATCCAGAAGCGGCTGCATACAATCTTTGTTTCGGAACATGATTGAAGAGAGGTGGCGGTTGAGGAACTGAACTCCATTGCCAATGGATGAAGAGCGTGACAYTCGAGGAAATGTAGCATTAAATGGTTCGAGATCCAGTTCAAGCACAAAAGGGTTCCTACTCCTATAACATAATGACAGTCAGGCACATGGTCACAGGTATTTTATTCCACATGCATAATGACAGTCAGGCACATGCATAATATTACTTTTTCATTTTTCATCTTCTCAATAAGCAAACAGTCCATTTTGTCAGGTTGCTACTTTGGCACACACACACACTGTGCACACAACATCAGTTATACAGGAGTAAAGACCATTTAAAACAGAATGTAAATCCTCATGCATAACTATCTATATCTATATACACACACACACAGCAGGGCTATTCAATCTTGAACTTAGCCCTGCTCTGTCCAAAACCAAGGATTAAATACAGTTAACATAATGGGTTTAATAAACCAAGGACTTAGCCCTATTCAATCTTGGACTTAGCCATGCTCTGTCCAAAACCAAGGATTAAAAACAGAATGCAGTCTCATTTGCAAACCACATGCCCTTGTGTGTGTGTTCCGTTTTGTGTTCCACTTAAACAAAAACAAGTTGTTTCTGTTTCTTAAACCTACAGCYGGTGGAAACTGCATTATGTTTCTGTTTCTTAAACCTGCAGCATCCTGTTTCTGTGTGTGTATAAGTTGAAATGGAAACAACTTCTGCTGCATTTGTATTTTGTATGTTTCATTGAAAATTYAGGGTATGCAATTTATAAATGCAGTCAAGGGTTATACCACAAATGTAATGTAATATGTTACTCAAAAGCAATTTTGATGAAATAAGGAGCAAACTTGCCAAAAGAAGATAGATACAGAAAAGATTGTTTGATGGAATGATGTATCATTTTGAAATTTGAAACATGTAATGAAATCCACATCGTGCAAACCTAGTCAAATCCCAGTTTCAATTTTATGATTCCCTACTCATTTAAAGTTTCTACTTATAGGCATGTTCATGTGAATAAAAATATGAACATGTAACAGCTGCTGTATCTAAACACACACACATAAGGAGCAGTTTGCTATTTTGAACAAGTCTAGTGTTTTAAAAACTGACTAATGTTGCTGCTGTATCTAAACACACACACACACAAAAGAAAAAAAAGTAGATAAAGTACCCACCTGGAGAAGAATTCTCAATCGTTCAAAAGGAGCAACAGCAGTTCGTGATCTGCAACATAATGTAATGGAAACAAACTTAATTGTGTGAATAAGATGATGAAGCTATGCAGCCACTTCAAACATCAAACATCAAAACCTTTTAGAACATAGTTGATTGGACAGATCTGCTTGTAAGGGCCATGTGCAGACTTAATGGACAGAATATGGAGTTCCTATGTCTTTCATGTTATAAACATCTCTTTACATGTCTACATATAGTTTCAAACTTTGTCTTAAATGCTTCATGATCTCATGTGTATATCAGATTAAAATTTGCATCAAAACAAGAACCTCTATTAATTTATCTTATTTTGGGAATGTTGTAGTGAAATTGAGAGCATAGTGACTACATGACCAAGACAGTCACCTGTAAAGAAACAGTGCAGCCAAAACAAATGACATGTTGCTAAGCAAAAACAAAAACAGCAGAACAGTCACCTGTAATATCCAGACAACGCCAACACAGCCCTGTGTCGAACAAGTGGAATCAATGGCTGAAGAACTGCAAATATATAGAAAGACAAGAATATATAGAATCAACAAGAAAATCCATAAAGTTAATTACAAAATAATTCAATGGCAAGAAAGACAAAACCTCGTAAGTGCCCTGCATCATTGTATTCCAGTATGTAAAATCATATCCAGTAGAGAATCACCTAATAATACTCTCTGTGTGCCAGTGTAAAAAGAGATCCACTTTGACTTCGGATGACAAACAAATTAGGTTTCAACTTCAAAAATAGGCTTTCCAACCTTACAAGTGCTACAAATAGTTGTACATTGGTATTGAAGTTCATACCAAATTTGAAATGAGTACTTGTTACAGGAGAATCCATTTCAAGATGTTCTGCAGTAATTAAACCCATCCATTGCACACATCTTGATGGTGGGTGAGACGCATCCAAATGTACACACAACTGAAGATTCATAGGAAGGAAAAGCACAAGTGAAAATGCTCAATTTTAAAAGGATATTGATGATTGTAATAATTCAAATTCACAAACTTATGATATGATGAACAACCTAAAACCTAAAACCCTAAAATCAAGCAACCGTGAATCAAGCAACCTTGAATATAAAGTTAAGAATCGTACCTCTTGCGAGAGATGCAGGGCGAGAGCGAGAGCGAGAGATGCAAAGCGATCGGGAGAGCGAGAGATGCAGGGCTTTACGAAGGAGATCGTTTATAAGGGTGAGTGGAGAGCATGGGTAGGAGAAGATGCCTCTGCGAAGAGCAGAGTGAGTGGATGAGTGGAGACTATGGGTTTGGAGAAGATGCGCACGCGAAGTGCAGAGTCACGTGCTTGGAGAATCTGGTTTTGGGAGAAGTGAGTGGAGTAAGTAGTGGAATGCATTAAAGGGTGGTACGGTATAGATTATGCATAAAAAGGTTGTACATTTTTAAGACTTTAAGACTTTAAGCATCGAGAGGTTGTACTTTATGCATTTTAAGTTGTTTTTAAGACTTTTTTATGAAATCTGCTTTATAAGGTAGTATAGATTATATATTTAATTTTGATTATTTTTAACATAAATGTTTTAGATACACTTTTAAAAAGTAACTAAATATTTTTATTTAATTTTAAAAAACTTAAATTTTTTCTTAATCTTTAGAGAAGCTTAAGAAAGTGTTTCTAAAAATTGATGAAACTTTTTAGAGACATTTTTTTTATAAAAGCTTCTCTAAAACTTTCAACGACATTTCTTGTAACGTATAATTAGCCTATAAATCCTTCTCTAAATGTCGTCCAACCTTTAGTTACATTTCTCATTTTTGTCATTTAAATTCTTCTCTATAATGTAGCTTTAGATACACTTTTAAAAGCTTCTCTAAAGGTTTCTTCTCTAAAGCTCATTCCTCTTGTAGTGACATGATAGTATTTTAATTCTTTTTTCTTCATTAGAGACTAAACGATTAAATTTTTTTATAAGACCAAACAACTAATGATATTAAGTTCTTCATACCAAATAAATGCTTATGAATTTACTAATAAAAAATATATAATTTTATAAATTTATTGTAACACATTTATATAAGCCATACTCTTATATGAATAGTATTCAACGGATTGCACTTAAATGATGTTAATGGTAGAAATCAAACTCATAAAAAACTAAACTATAATGATCAAAAATATTAAAAAAAAACCTAGTTAAATTAAAAATGTTTTAATTATTTTATCATAATAAAATAATATAATTTTTTATCTATTTACATTTTATCAAAAAAAAAATATAGTTTTATTAATGAAAAAGACAAAAATATCAAAACAGAAACAACAACTATATTTAATAAACCAAAAAAAAGGACTAAAATATCCCTATGTTAATGGAGGAATTTTAACATATTTAGTCTCGGAGACGAAAACAATAATAAATTACAAACCATAGAAATGAAAATGACAATTTTAAAACCATAGGGACGAAAATCCCAAACTTTCTCAAATTATAAGGACGAAAATCATAGTTTACTCTAATAATAAAACAAGGTATGCTACTTTTTTACGGTGGACTTTTTATTGGGGACTACAAATGCCAAAGATCTAGTAGTTTAGGGACTAAAAAGTATTTTAGAAATTCATCATTCGATGTCTCTGACAAGAGTTCATGGCTGAGAGGACAAGTAGGAGGCTCCCGCTCGCCGACGGTGTTAAGAACTTATGAATTTGAAATATGGAAGGTTTTTCTCCAAAGATAGTCAATGACGCTGAGGAATTTTTTCCAAAATTGATAAGAAATTGCAGCAGAAACAAATGAAGTTTGAATTCAAGGAAGAATTCTTAGAAGAAAATCTCATGTAAATTGCAACGGAAACAAATGAAATTTGAAAATTTTCGCCAATTTTAATGGTTCGTTTAGGTTTCTGACTTGATTATGGATGCAAGGAGGTTCGAAATTGTATAATATTTGGCTTTTTCTAGAACAAGGGACGGAGCTCCGTCATCGTCTTCTTCATGGCTAGTCAAGAGCGGTAACATTAATGTGCTTCAACTTCATAGGGATTCATTAATCTACAATATCTGTAAACCGTCACAGCTAATACTTTTTGGTTTGAATTCTAGATTTTGGCCTAATTGTTATGCTAATCAAGTTGTTTGATTTTGGCCTATGCCTAATTGGATTCAAATTTGATTCATCATCAATTTCTGGAGCTTTGGAACAGGGTATGTGTGTGAGTACAACCTAAGTTTTTTTGACCTAGAACAAAGTATTAAGTTTAGGAATCTCTTATTAATGCATAGTTTTCTTTAAAACTCTTTGAAGTCCATAAAACTAATCAATAACCAACTGATAAATATGTTCAAATATAAACTAATCATAAATATATTTATTTTTAAATCAAAATACATCTAAAATTACGTCAAGATTTTGGATTAAACAAATTATACCTAGGAAAAAAGTAATTTTATAATATTTAATTTGTCACCAATATTAATGTATGTTTTTGGGGTTCTTTTCACTTGATCTTCTTATTAGCAAGACATGTTCAACTACTACTTTTCGAATTTCCTTTTTAGTAAAAGGTGTTCTTGGTTTTGCAATATACTCTTGCCAACGGTTGTATTGCATGAATACACAATTTCTCGATGTTTTTTATTCTGTGTTGTTGACTTCAAATTTGATGATAATCGATGATGATCGATCATATTGGCTTCTCGTGGTAGGCCAGGTTTTAGAATACATATTGACCATTTCATGTGTGTAAGCACTTTGCTATTTCATCCTTTTGTATGAGACATGCGGAATCCTAGAAGATTACTCTTTAAAAAAAGCATTTGACGGAGAAAATAGGGTTTTCAAGGAGATGGTCGGTCTGTGCAAGTTACTTTTTTTGTTTGATTCTTTCACCTTTTTAAGTATAGTATTTTAGTTTTCAGGATATACCGTGACGTTGTTTGGTTGTATGATATATGCTAGATTATGGTGTTTAGTGTTGAATTGATGTCCTATGTGTTCACCAGTTTATCTTTGAAATTTGATAATTTCTTTGATTCCTGCTTTCTTTCGAAATTCCAATTTAGGCTTCTCATCTACTTGCATATCCCCACAACATCTTTCTCTCACATACCGACCATTCATGGTATAAATAGTTTTCTTTGGGCTGTTCAGTATTCACTAAACCTGTAAATTACTTGTGCAGTAAAAAAGGTCATCATGTATCTCGTATCCTAAAAAGAATCGTGGAAGGTAAATCTTCTCACGTGGATAATAAAACAGTTGGACGTTCATTGTGGCCTTCTGCTTCGGCACAAGGTACTATTACTTCTACCAAATATTTGCTTATATGGTGTCCATTTTAAATGCTTCATTTACAGACTACCATATTTATGTATAAGTATTGGATTCTAGCTAGATTTGAGATTCTTTGAGATGGAAAAAGAGAAAGAAGATGCAACTTCCCCTAGAGGAGTTCTAGAGGCATGCATACGAAGCTTTGACAAGGAGCTAAGTTCATCTGATGCGGATAGCATAAAAAATGAAGCCATTTCACAACCACGTTCTCGGTGGTTTAGATTCTTCAAAATGTGGAAGAAAAGCTTTGCTAAGAGGGTACCGTCCTTGCCACCCCTTGCACCAAAGCCATCCAGAAGAAAAACCATGAGTGCTAGAGAGAACCCAGATGTTAATTTATGCCCTTTCAAGTCCTCATGGAAAGTTTTCACCATCTCGGAACTTAAAGCTGCAACTGACAATTTTAGCGAGGGTCTGCATTCCTTTCTGAAGCTTTCCCATTTTAATATTCGTAGATTCTTTCCAAACTTGCATTACAAATGAATGATGTGGGGATTTTGCTTTCCAGATAAAGTGATTGGGCAAGGTGGTTACGCTGATGTTTACAAGGGCTGCTTGCATGACGGGAGGCTGGTGGCAATCAAAAGGCTCAACAAAGGGACAACAGAGGAGCAAATAATAGGATTTCTATCCGAGATTGGAACCATAGCACATGTTGACCATCCTAATACTGCTAAATTAATTGGATATGGGATTGAAGGTGGAATACATCTTGTTATGGAGTTATCCCCCCATGGAAGCCTAGGATCACTATTGCGTGGTATTTTCAAACATGCTCTAAACTTGCTTCTTCTTTTTTCATCTGAATCACGATATTTTTTACAGGTGCAAAGAGGAAACTAGATTGGGGTCCAAGATATAAGATTATACATGGGACAGCCAATGGCTTGTTATACCTTCATGAAAACTGCCAAAGGCGAATCATTCACAGGGATATCAAGGCTGATAACATTCTCCTTACGGAGAATTTTGAGCCACAGGTACCTTTTCATGGCCAAGTCCTGCTTTTGTAGCATCATAAGAATGTATATTAAGTACCAATGAGTAAATAAGATAGTTGCATCGAACTTGAACCACTGCATTGTAACATTGGGCGTCAATGGTAGGCTATGATTGCAATAGTTCTATAGTTTAGACAGTTAGTAGTAAGAGGGATTAGTTAAATGGGCAAGCTGTATCTTATAGGTTACATAAGTTTTGGTTACACAATTACTTCCCCCTCCAATTCCTTTGTTTTAGTACAACGTGATTATAGTTCATCTTTTAACATTTTATTGACTTCTACGAAAAGCAAAACTTTTTTATGCATTCATTTCCTATTTAGGATGTCTGGTTGGTAGGGTACTCACTCGTAACTGATAGTTAATAAAATAAAAGGAAGTACAGAATTATGAGGTCGGGTGCAAAACCTATTCGATGATCTATGGGATATCCCGGTCTCTATGTATGTTTATTCATACTCCGTTTCGTTATTCATATTCAATGACTAATATGCAATTTGAATTTAGATATGTGACTTTGGTCTTGCGACATGGCTACCGAGAGAGTGGACTCACCATAATGTGTCAAAGTTTGAAGGTACATTCGGGTATGTAAACTGAAACATGTAGTATCGGAAGTGACTATTGGGAGTTATTGTTATGTTTTTTATATATTTGCAAATAAACATTTCTCATTGGATAGATATTTCATGTTATGATGGTTACTCTTCATGTTCAATGTTGGCAGCTATTTTGCTCCAGAATACTTCATGAACGGCATAGTGGATGAGAAAACTGACGTCTTTTCTTATGGTGTGCTAGTCTTGGAGATCATAACAGGACGCCAAGCTTTAGATGATTCACAGAAAAGCCTTGTACTTTGGGTAAGCCATGGTGTGCAGTGCATGCCAGCTTACTGTTCCATGTTGTATCTTTTAGTTATTTAATTATCTAATTAACTACACAAATTCTCTTTGAAGGCAAAACCTTTGATGGAACAGAATGCAATAAGAGAACTAGTTGATCCTTCTCTGGGTGATGATTACAACGAGCATGAAATGAATCGTGTAATTTTGGCAGCTTCGTTGTGCATTGAACCGACTCCAGCTCTCCGTCCTCGAATGAGTCAGGCAAGTCTTGCAATGTTGTTTTACCCCTTTGTGTTGTTTAGTAGTCAGAAATATATGACCCCTCCCTCTATTTTATTATTTTGATTTACATGTAAATCCACCGCCATCTTATACTTCATCGGTGAAATCTTTCTAACCCGAATTAGCTTGCTACATTTTGTTTTATAACATGCAATTTCAAACAAAGTAACTATTATGACCTCAAATCTGCCACCAACATTATCTTAGAGACACCACTCGCTATTTCATCCTCATTTTCTTCTTTAATACGATAGATGATATATAATTGTTAATATTTGTGGATAAAAACACAACTGTACTAATGTTTTTGGTGGGAGGGATTCCACATGTTATTTTTTTCCTTCCATCTGATAAATCAAATTCATGTCAAGAATTTGATGTTGAAAAACAGAAAATCCTTGGCTCTTTTTGACCTCTTAAATGCTATTTGGACCTTTTCTTATGTAATATCACGACTTGCAAATGGTCAGTTTGTAACACCCCATATCATACATTGCATATAACACATACTTCAATCAAGAAAAGTATAGGTATTATTACTCCACTTACGTCCCATAGTACAAGAAATCAATGTGCAAAGTACACAATCCAAAAATTCCAAAATGCATGTTCTTGTACTACATAACATATATCTTCAAAACTATACACTTCCATAAGCTGATCGTCATATAGATATGCACATGGGAAAATAATTACCTTTTCCCCTTCCCTTTTTTCATGTAGCCCAGTTGTTCCTGCAATACATATTTGAAAGACAAAATGAGAGTTAGACCTGAAGGTCTAGTGAAATCCCTTTTTCTTTGTAATTGGACGATGAAGATCACCAAAACTTTATTTAAAAATCAACCTTTCCTAAAAATAGAAACATAATCTCATAATTCTCCACGACGAGCGCCCCTCTGACTCTAAAGACCAAATTTTGACTTAAGAAAAGTTTATCTCTAAAACAGCAGGGCTAGTGCCCCTCTGGTTCCATGGACCAGAGCTTATAGTCCTACCAACCAGAGCACTTCTTCCCAAACTCAAGTTTACCCTTATTTCTATATAAGGATGTTTCTCTAGTTCAATGACTATAGCAAAGTCATGTACATAGAAAGGATACAAATAATTTCCAAGTATAAAGAAAAATATAATTTGAAAACTTCTATATGACCAGAACCTTTGGTTCAAATGCAAAGACCAACCAGAGCTCCTCTGGTTTAACTGTAAAGACCAACCAGAGCTCCTCTGGCTTGCCTTGCTTTGCAAAGTCATTTCATGTAAATAAATTTCTAAGTTTAAATAAGAGAAAGAAGTTTTATAAACAATTTGAAATACAACCTTTATGACACAGAGCCTCTATACAATACATATAGAGCCTCTGGTCCAAATAGGGGTTTGAAAGTAAAGATTTTCATCATAGTCAGAGATCTTGTGATTGTCCCTAAACAACAACCCAAAATTCCTTTAACAAATTGTAGAACAACCAGAGAGCCCTTCTGGTTCTATTCAAGGAACAACTAGAGCTCCTTTGGTTCCTTTCAAAGAACATCCAGAGCCTCTCTGGTTTCTCATAACTCTTTTCCAAACACTTTTAATCAAAAACACAATTATTCAAAACCTCTAGCCATAAGCCAATTTTCCCCTTCTCAATAACGTCATTACTATCATTTCCAATAAGAGCAATATTCCTGAATCATCAAATGACAAAGAAATAAGGACTCAGAACCATTGCAATATTAAGGGATATAACAGTAAGAGCTATAATAATAATCACACAAACAAATGCCACCCTTATATCCAAAGGTACACCTCTACTTGATATGTCACCCTCATAGCTGAAGGTACACCTCTCCTTGATATGTCACCCTTATCCCATGGTACACCTCTCCTTGATATGTCACTCTTATTTTTCCATCAAAATCTACATATTGTTTCCAATCAAAACAGACCAAAGTCACAACCATCCTGAAGGAACATCATCAATAGTTTTAGCCAATATGAGTTTCAAAACAGTTTTATATCAAAACTTCTAAAATCAAGAACTAGTAGATCTTGAATCCATTTTCCAAACTCAAAACTCTTTATTCCTTAAAATAGGTTATAATCTCAACTGTTTTGAAAGAAGCAGATACTTCTTTATATTACAAAACAGTTTCAAAACCTAGATTCATAAAGCTCAAATCAGTTGTTCAAAACAGTTTCCTTTCTTCATTAAAATCATCCATCAAAATCCATATATTTCAAATATCAACATATAAGAATTTTAATAACAAAACTCACCTTATGCACGGATTTGAAGATAGTTCACACAACAAAGCTTCAAATAATCAACACAAAATCTTCTCTAAATAACTTCGCACGACAACTTTCTCTCAAGAACACCTACACACCACTACTGCCTCTTTTTCTTTATTAGAAGATAAGTAGGAAAAGATTGATCTTATCCCATTTATATATATATATATATATATCTATATATTATTGAGGCATTGTGAAGTTTAATATTATAAAACTTAAAAAAACGATGGAGGTTTAATATTTTAAACCACTCCTCCTTTTCTCCCAATAATGCACATCACATGTATATATATTTTAATACTTCCTATTGTAAGCACAATACCATGTATGCATACACATATACTTTTAATACTTCTCATGTATTCACTGTAACCCATACGCATATATATATATATATATATATAGGGGCTGGTTCAAATAAAAACCAACCATATGGTACAAACTATGGAAACCGATTTTGACCAATCACATTCTTTCTTCACTTTAGGTTCAAATCTAAATTATAAATTAATGATAAGGGTAATTTGGTAATTCAACCTTTTTGTAACCCCCAATAATTAATTGGGAGTTACAAATCTGAAAAGATACATCTAATTGTTTATGAGATTTTTATGATTTCTTTATTATTTCATGTTCATGGTATTCATTTCAATTGATTTTATATATATATATATATATATATATTGAAATTGGTTGTCTAAGTGTACAAGATTTTCATTTCGTTCAAGATACATGGAGAATCCTATTGTAAAAGAATGTCAGAATAATGAAGACGATAGACGCTTGCAGTCTATGTTCATATCTGCACACATGCACAACGA